CACAGACAAGTTTCTTCTGCTTTCAACAGGCCAGGATCCTGTTTAGTCTATTATTGTTTTTGCAGAGAGAAAGAAAAGAGGATGACCCTTTTGTGATGGTGTGAGAAAAGGAGGAGAGACTGGCTCAGGGGAAGTTGCTGCAGGAGCAGAAGCAGGTGCAAAGAGCAGTGCAGGAAGAGGGGAAGAAAGAGGGGCTGAGAATGAGACAGAGGAGGGGCTCTCAGGGGGAAATGTGGACAGGGATTGGAGAAATCACAGCAGTGTCCTCAGAGCACACCAGACCAGCCAAGCTTCGACTCTGGAAATGATCCTGATATTCGGCACCGTGGATATCCCAGTGGGACAACCGACAAGATGAAGTGCCTGCATGGGTCTGGAAGATGAGGATGTCCTGATACACTGTGGTGAGGCCAATAGGGCTCAATGCATGGGCTAAATATAATGATGGCACAGAGAAATGGCAAACCATTGGTACTGAGGCTTGGATCCCAAAAGGACAATTCGGGTGTATCTGTGAAAATGCAGTAACAGAAAAGGAGGATCGATGCCTCGATGCTGAAGACAGCACATGCACACTTGAGATGCTTCCCACAGGCCATGCACAGTCACAAGTGTATTATGTGGGAAAAGGGGGGGCGTGTATTTGGACACACTGTGCAAATGTAAGCATTGATGATTGTACTGGAGAAACCAACAGCATTAACTTCTGTGTTGGGAATTTTACTGAGATCCAGGGCTGTGATTTTCATTATTCTGCTCCAACTCCCCCATCTCAGCTGATTTCTGGTGAATATATGTTGTGTAATGAGGTGTCTAAACTGCAAATTGGAATGGACACTCCAATTTTAAACGAGATGTTGTACCATCCAGATAGAGAAGAAATGATAAAATCCAAGGAACCTCCCAACGAGCCCTATGGCAAGTACAACGTGGCACCATAAAAATTCAAGAAGTCGCACCCTCAGTTGACAAGGCTGGAGAACATCACTGGTGGGACGTTTCCCTAGGATGGACTTCCCCAACAGCAACACGTCTGCCACTTTCTAATACATCCAGTGCTAATCCTGATCCCCGTGGTCCTATTACTGACAATCCTAAACCTGTGGATGTGGTGGAAAATTAGAGCTGTTGCCCACCATGTGCATGTTTTATGGACAGTAAACAAAATATTGCAAACAAATTTGCAACAGGTACAGAAAAGGGGGGATTGAAATAGAGTCTGGAAGGTTTAGGCTTTGGTAATATAAGTGTGGCTTAACGAATATAAGGTGACTGAGATGTTGCTTTGACAGAGGTGCCCTTTGTAGGGTGTGCACCCTGTGCTCTCCCCACCAGTGCTTAATAAAGGTATTTTGGTTTACAGTCCATCTATGCGTTGATTCCTTTGAATCAATCCCCTTGGGGGTTGGGGGGGATGTGTGTGGGGGTCTTGAAACTCCTGTGTCCCCTGTGGGGTGGGGGGGATGTGTGGGGAGATGTGTAGAAGGTGAGA